AGTTTAAAAAGAGATGTCGTGCAACCAGATATGCAGAAGTGGTTTATATATTAAGATACCTACCGTGTAATGCGATATAGCTATAATATATCGATGCTTTTGTTTTCAATTTGTTGCAGTGTTCTTCCACCGAAGCATCATAATCGATGGGTTTGGTGCATATAATTCTCCCGAGATCCCTTTCGTCGCCTAGGAGAACAAGGAGCTCAGATGCATCATAAAGTATAGAGGTGAGATTACATTGGCAAAGATAACATTGCGTCAGAGCGGGGAGGGTATATATTCCGACTGAAATTGAACTTGTCAACATTGAAATAGAAAATTATGAATTACGTTTTTAGACATATTAGACGTATTACTTAATTTCTCCTTCATATTAATCGATAAATAGAACGGTGCAATTTTCACTCGTCTGATAATGTACGATTCAATTTTATCAAACCTAACGAGGGAAATGATTTTGAGCAACGCATTATTTCTCTATAAAATTATTTTTTAATCGACGATCCTCTGAATACCTGTTTTATTTTATTATTTATTATTACTTCTCTTTATTATTTCTTTTTATTATTTTTCTTGTACGATAATGAACTTTGAATGACGCTACTGCGTATAAAAAATACGCGTGGCAATCTGAGATCGGAATAAAAAATGGATAGAAGTTTTATTTTAACAAATGTGAAAGTTTTCACTGAGTGACATTAAAACATAAAGCGACATTGTAATCTGGAAATGGCTTCCTTCAAGATGATAGTTCTCTGAAGGGAACAAATACGTCGTTAATGCCGACACGTTTAATGACAGTGCATCTTCGCAACGTGAAAGTTCACGTTTGATCTTAACGTCCATACGTGTTTAATTCAGTTAAGAACGTCAAAGTTATTTATTATTATCATCTACGACATGTACACGGTTTAAATAAAACTGATACATATGTACGTCAAAGATCATAAGACCAGCGATTTTCCCGCGAAAAATCCGATAATCGTTGAAAAAAAAATCGAATTGTCAAGCTCAAATTCAAGACCAAGAAGAGAGGCGTCCAAACAAATGCGAACGAAGAATTTTGACAAGTTTGAACGACACTGCGAATATGTACCGAAATAAGTTGTATTAATTTATCCGCGTTCTTTTCTTTAATTGGAATTCATCTTTATACGAAATAACGATACGCGCGCATTTTTCTTCCTTAATTTTGGAATATTCTATACGCTAGTCTTATTTTCTTTGAGGACATCGTCATTCTTTTTTTAATAAATATCATCGTATACATGCATGTACTTATCAATACGAAATTATCAGTTTGATAGACATAAATTTATTTTTACCCTTGGAAAAAGAGAGAGTGATTAAAATGAATTACTATCTATGCAGTCTATAGTCTATTCTTTTTAGCTGCGTTGCGCAATCCATTTA